ACACCGACAGTGTACTCTATCTGTGCCGTACAGCAACACTCCTTAACACATTCACCCCAAGGACCCCACTTCGAAGAGCCTGGTGTTCTCGCAGTTCAACTCTTCCCTGGAGTGGCTGAAGCGCACCCTGCCCACGAGGGGCTTCCAGTTCCGCACGCTCACGGGAAACATGTCCCGGACGCAGAGGACCGCGGCGCTCACGGTACGTTCCGCGAGTTGGCGGGTTTGATGAAGTGTACCATGGTACGAGCGGTCTGGTATGAGCAGATTATGCTCCAAGTGTAGCACACAAGGAGCGTCGTTTTCGCTGGGTGTGGCGCACCTGTTGTATACAAGCACGCGAAGATCGAAGTGCCTTGCCGAACGCGAAAGGTTTGGACACGAGCCGGGATGCCCAATCAACCCATGGCATAAAAATCTGGTTTTTGGTACAACAAGACGGAAGGATGAATGTTCAGCTTTTTCTGGTTCGTCCTCATGAAACGTAACTAGCCTAGGACGGGGAGAACCCGGCATATCGCGCTCCTTCCCTGCATCGAAGGGACACGAGGTCAATGTCGCCCAGCGACTAGGCCTTGCATTTACATGAGCACGCCCCCGCCCCTACCTGTCTGCTTCCTCGCGATGGGTTTCTACCGCATGACAGGCTTTTGCTATGTTGAATCGCATGGTCTCTCCGTTCTTTTTTTGGTCGTCAGAGTGTGTCAGCACTGTCTTTCGAATCACCGTACGCGCACGGGCGCGTCTTTTGCTCAGAAGCGTCGACCCTACGCTAAGCGGTCTACCAACGAAAAGGCGTCAGTCTCAGTGAAGCTGAAAACAGAAAATGCTCACAATGTGCGTGCTTGTGTTCCTTTTTTTCGCGAGAACATCCTTGCCCGCTATGTGCCGAATAGACGAAACCGGCCAGTCACAACCACCCAAGGGGTGCAGTGTGCCTTCCTTTCTTTCCTCACGCGATGTCTCTGTGTGTGCGTGATTCATTTCGCACTCATCCGTTGCTTTGGAACGTGTTTCTACCGTTGCACCCTCCCTCTCTTTCTCTCTACATATATATCCTCTGCTCTTTTACATACTTGGAAGTGCTTCGAAGTATGAGTTTGTTGTTTCGCACTCAACGCGATTTTTGCTCGTTTATTTCCTTTATTTCGTTTTCTCAGCTGCTCAATCTGGGTCTTGAGAAGCAGGCGATCGGAAGGGTCTACCGGCTGAGACAGGCCCGCCACGTTTCGGTACGACCGCGCTGCTTCCGCTGTGGTAGCCAATATTTTTTCTGCTCTCTTCTTGGCTAATGAATTTTGGTCTTTCTGGAACGTATTCGGCACGCTCTTTCGCTGCTCCATTCATGGGGTTGGTGACGAGCATTGCATCTTTTGTCGGTTTGCATTTTTTTTTGTGGATGCAACAGCCGGCCCGATACGTTTGCGTGTGTTTGCCCCATTTTTTACAATATTCTTTTGATGTCCAGTTTACGAAGCCGGTCCTCCATGTTGTGCTTGCTGTCCTTGTCGTTGCCGGTGTTCCGGTTACGAAGCTCGTCCTTAATGGCGTGTTGTACATTGTTGTCGTTGCTATCGGTAATTGGCGAAGCTCATCCTCCAGGTCGTCTCGCTGCTGCTGTTCGTCCAGGTCACGTAGAGGTCGTCCTCACGTGCTGTGTCGTCTTGTTATTGCTGGTGCTGTTGATTCAGGTAACGAAGCTGGTCCTCAAGGACTCGATGGAGACTCGCATCCTCGCCCTGCAGAAGAAGCAGGCGGCCGAGGGCTCCGCCTCCGCCGCCGTCGGAGTACCCAGCAGCGACGGGCAGCGACGGGCAAGCCTTAGCATTCCGCAGAGGTGGAGGTAGAGGGTGAACGTGGATGTAGAGTTTGTTGCCAACAAGAGGGTAAGCGTTTTGCGTAGGTGAGCTGATGGGGCTCGGTTTTCTGCTCGGGCGGACAAAGATTTTTTTTTGTGTGTGTTTTTTTGTCGATTCCCGGGTGCGCATCCCAACAAGTTGCGTGTCTCCCCCGCTATGTTGCCCCCAACATCTACCCTTTTTTTTTTACCAATTCAACATCAGCGTGGCGGGCAACATCGCGAGAGACAACGCTAAGGACCTGAAGATTGGCGAGTATAATGCCCTATTCGGAGTCTCGGAGGGGGCGGGCGACAGCTTTGGTGGCGACAGCAAGCCGCACACCACGAGCTCGAACCCGTAGTACGCATAGTCGTCCTTTTCTCGCCGTTCCACCACTACGGGGGGGGCGATGCGCCGACAACCTAGGACTACTGCTGGAGCTGACATGATGGTCCCGAGATGAGCGTTAGCGTGTGCCCAAGATAAGAAGTACGTTGCCTCGATAGGAATCCGCAAACCAAGAGCCCGACGGTAGAGGAAGGCCTGGCGCTGACATGATGTTCCCGGGATGAACGTTAGCGTGTGCCCAAGACGAAGGAAAGTGCCAAGAAAATTCTTTGCCACTCCAGCGATGTGATGACGACGACTCGAGAGGAGGCTAGTTGCTTCTTCGGCGATGGGTGCTCCTATCGAATGATGGACGACACCAGGTTGCTCTGGTTGATGTCATGTTCGTGCCTGTTGTCGTTCGTTTGACCGACTCTCCTTTTATCTTCTGCATAAAAGCTCGCCGGTGGCTTTTGCTAGCACCGGTGCTCCTTGCGGGCGCCGGCGTTTTGTCCTCCACCTTGTTTTTGGGGATTGTTTCAGTTAGAGTTCCAGTGGTACTCCCTTGGTTTTGGAGGGGGTTGGTGCTCGCCAGCGAGATCCATGCTGTGTTTCTGCGACAGCATCAGTTTTCTGTTTGTTTCTGCTAGGCCTGTACACAGCCCATGAAAGCCCCCGTCTTGGCGTTTCCAGTCATCAACGCGTTGGGCGGCTGTTTTTTTATTTTTTACCTTTCGTGTTGTGGCCGACTGCTTACAAGTATTGAGTTGGCTTCCGAAGAACCCAGGGTTGTGTGATGATTCTCGTGTAGGGTTTTTTGTGCTGAAACGCGCTTGCCGTAGCTCGGGCCCCATCGGTCATCATTGTTGTTTTGCTCGGTAGAGATAGGTAGGCATGGTAATCTTCGGTAGGCGGAAGAATCTCAGGGATCAATTCCCCGTGGTATCGATCGCAAAGTGCTGATAAATATTCTTTGTAGAGATCACCCCCCCAAAAAAAAACTTACGCAAGATGGCATGAAACGGTAGCAAGAAGTAAGTGTCTCGCAGGGTGCCAATATTCTTTGTAGAGATCACCCCCCAAAAATCCTTCCGCAAGATGGCATGAAACGGCAGCAAAAAGTACCTCGCAAGGTGCCAATATTCTTTGTAGATATCACCCCCCGCCCGGATTATATCCATTGAAAGAGTTTGGTGTGTGCATCGTGCGGTAATGTGGTTGTTGTTTTGTTCAGCCGCCCCTGTACCGGCCATAGCGCTTAGTTGCGAGCCCAGCGTAGTTATTTAGGCACGAAAGAGAAGCATGTGCGCGGTGAGTGTAATGATAGCGGGAAGCTGACGAGCACCGACTTTGCTGTACGGGGGGAGGGAGGGGGTGGTGGGGGGGGCGAACACATACGCGAGGGACAAATGGGGGTGCGGCGAACAAGGGACAAATACATACACGCTCGTCGCGGTGGTTTGTAGGACTTGAAGTGCAACGGCCGACCACATTTTCGACCCTTATTCCGTAGTTCTCATGGGATGTTTTTTTTGGTCCACTGGGTCCCACTCCCTAGATATGCGTTTGTGCTTTTGTTGTTGGTTTTCGAAGCCGAAGGTGTGCTGTGGGCGTCTACTCTTTGTTGGTGGCCGAGGTTTGTCATGCCTCCCCCCCCCCCCCTAGTTACCCGCCGAGGCCTAGCTGCGTGGCTCGTTTGGTGCTGGCGTTAGGGGTGGCGGAGCTCGCTCCAGGGGAGAGCCATCTTCAACGAAGACGGTGTCATGTTTTCGCAGCATCAGGTCTGGTCTTATTCTAGCTGCTGTCGAAAGATCATGGCGAGTCTCAACAGCCAACCAAGTCTTGTTGGGTACGTGATATATCTGTAACGGTCGATGCCGTGTTTTTCACCCAGACGGGTCAAGAGCTCGTCACCGGTCTGTGTACGTAAGACCGCAGTTTCTCGTGACAGTGACGATTTTTTTTCGTGTCCCTTTGCGTGCGGTCCGAAGTCTTGAGTTTGTTAGTCATGCAGCGTGATCCGTGCCACGAGATTTTTTTTTGTGCGTTTGCGAAGCGATTCGCACTGTACCTATCCTCAGATCTCGTGCAACGAACACGCACATGCTTGAGAAATATATAAATATATATATCTTACCTTAGGAGTCTCAAAACACCAAGTACAGGTGACAAATCAGGTGGAACCTTTGACAGCATACACGCATGATGTAGCCCAGCCAATGGTAATGAATATCGTCGGCTTGGCTGCTCCAAGAGCGAATACCAACGAAACGCAGCGAGCGGTGCCACATCACGGGAGGGGCAGCGCTTTCGACAAGAAATTCCTCTCCCCAAATTTCACAACTGCTTTCGCTCCTACCGCATGACTACACCCCCCGAACATTGCCTCCCACAGCGGGAATGAGTGTTGGGGAGTTCAGGTGCAAAGCACTGTTGTGGTTGGGAACTCGTTAGCGTAGTGCCGAAGCAGCAACGGATACCGCACGCAAACGGCCACGCCAACGTGCAGGCGGAGGCCCCCGCGCCACCCTGCCCTCATGCCCAGCCAATCAAAACTGTAGGTTTATGCTTGCGCCGCATGCTCGAGACTCTGCGTCGCCTCCGACGGTGCAGATTTCCTACGCAACATGAACAAGCCTATACCGCAAAAAAAAAAAAAGCCACCAACGCACATTTAAACACCAGTCCGGGAAGCATCGTCAGTGCTGTAGCCGAAACTTGTCCTACGAATAGATGTGAAACACAAACGCGCGTCGTTCGCATAGGCAAACGCATTGTGGGGTTGCTACAACAGTACACGTGTATACTCATACTCCCCCTATCCTGCGCCCGCGGAACTTCCCGCTCGGTCGCAAATTTTCTCCGAACTATCACTCATACTACTCACATTGACCCAGAGAACGTACGACTCTCTCGTCGGCAAATGTACACCAGATTCTTCTGCATCCAAACGCAGCCCCCTTTCGACAACCGCAGCAGCAGCAGCAGCGCACACAAACAAGATAATTCTCCACAAATCACGGAGCCACACTGACTGGTGCTCAGCCGACTGTGTTCACCGACCCCACCAACCCAATTTTCTCTACAATACAAAGCCAACGCACCCTCTCTACAAAGCCTAAATCTTGGGGAGTCAACACACACACGAAGAAAAAAAACGGCCGGCCGGACGCTACTCTGTTTTCACGCCAATGACTGTCTCGCCGGCACAACGGTTGGCACAACAACAGTAGAAATAATTTTCGCGGAAATTTCCAAAGGAGAGCGGGCGTCGACACCGCCGTGAGCCTCTCCGACCCTCCCGCCGGTTCCAGCAGAGGCCCCGGTGGCCGGGTTACGTTACCCCCCACACATACAAACAAAACACGCCCCCCCCCCCCCCCCCCCCCCCCCCCCCCCCCCCCCCCCCCCCCCCCCCCCNCCCCCCCGAGCCGCGAGAAAACTCTCTGCTGCTGTTACACCTGGAGCGGAGCCATGCCAGACCCACAAGCATCTCGACAGGGAAACAAAAGCACGTCGAGTCTCTCGCCCTGCCTCCTTCTACAGCGATATGTACAAATCAATGGTGGGAGGGTGGGCAGGCGGCCAAATGCGGAGGAAGCTAGCCTCGCGGCGGCTGGCGTTGGCATAGACGGAACCGGCTTCCCGTCCTTCAGGCCTCCCCGCGCGGAGCCCCCCCTCCCCCCCTTGAACACGCCAAAGCCGCCTTTGACGTCGTGAACAAATTTGTCGAAAAGGCTTCGGCGCGTCGTTGCGCTAGGTCAATGCCCGTTCCGGCATCTTGTGCGATCGCTGCCACCACAACTTGCCGCGCAAAAACTTCCCGCAGATAAGATACCACCACCCACAGCGTGCCTGTTTGTTTTCCTCCGTGATGGTATGGTGGTGGTGGATGCTCTCACAGCCTAGGCTCGTTCCGCTTGGCCACCTCTTGGTACTTGCCCCCCATCAGGCGGAGCAACTGATAGGAGGTAGGGCCGGAGGGAGGCACGACCGAGAGACAGAACAACAGAATATATGGTATCATTCTGCTGCTGTATGTGTGTTGAAATAGTAAAAAAGCATCGACCGTGCTAACCGGCTGACCAATGACAACACGTCGGTGCCGGCGGGCTACCCCCAAGGGGGACCAAAATTCGAACGAACAACGCGCAATGCGCTGAATACGAACCCCAAAATGATCGGGTGCGTTTATTTATTTTTATTTGTCAAACAAGTTGGTTCTGAGCAAGACACGTGATGACGCCAGAACGACATGTGCGTGTGCTTGCTCTATTGGATTGGTAAAAAGTTGGTTCTGGGCAAGACACGTCATAACTGCCTAAGTCACTGCAGAAGCCAAGACGAGTACGGTGAGAGTGATGGAAGGCCATACGCAGGAAACGCGCGACGAACCGAGAACGACCTCGTTGATCTCCTCTCGTCAGGACTCAAAAAAAGGACATCTGACGCCGTAGATATAACTATAATAGTTGGGGTTCCTGTCGTTCGGGAACTACCCTATCCAAAGCAATTATCATGTTTCTTCCACGTCCGTGCGGCACAACACACACGCATCACCAACACGAAAGAGCTCGGGTGATGGTGGTGCTGAGGGAGTGCTCATATTTTGCATGCCGAAGCGGCTGGACCATTGGTCATGACCACGGGGGGGGGTACAGGAAGAAAAAAAAAACGTCAACCGTTCGCTATACAGCCCAGACGAACAAAAACAGCAAGAAAAACTTGGTACCTTGCTCCAGAGTGGGTGGAAGGGCTTATCGCAGTGCTCGGTGATCAGCTCCGGTGCCGCCGCGGCCACGAACCACTGTCACGCGCAAAAAAGCAGCAAAAGAGAGGCAACAAAGGAAAAAAAAAATATATATATATATATATGTATGTATATATATACAACGAGGATGAAAAAGTCCAACAGACAGAAGCCACCAGTCCCCCCCCAAAAAACAAATTGCGTCAAAACCGGTGGTTACGCAACCACAAAACTCGACAAAAATGGAGCAGAACCACAGACAGCGTGAGCGAATCAGCAACAATATTCATCCTGGACTGTTCCCGGTGAACAGCGACAAGCTCTTCGGTTCTTGTAACTGTCAAGAAAAAGAGGGGAAATGCCTGAAATCCCAGGGTCCTTTCGCTAAGGCCGACCTTTCGTAAAGTTCGACTTTTTCCGCAATAGATGTTCAGCGGGGCTTTCGATACTGGGCACAAACCTAGCACTCAACACCACACCGCCGCTCAACGCTGCTTCACAGCAAACTACGCCTTCCGATACGTTCTAGAGGCAATCGTTGTAGAAGACGACAACCAACAATGCACGGCCCTTATCCCGTCACCAGCATGTGTACCAGTACATGTACCAGTACACCGCAGAACTAGATGTAGCACCGACTGCCTTGTCCTTCACTTCCAGCAAAGAACGTTCTGTAGTATGCAAACACTTAAGAGGAACACGAATCCGAATTTCTGCTGCGGCAACCGGTGGTATGACCCAACATCTCACAACAAGTCATAAGTCCCCCGCAGCAGATGACGCCTTCCGCCCATGGCACGACTACAACCAACGGCCATGGCGGTCAGTCACAGAAACGACCAAAACCAACGCCCAACAATCAACCGCAAAGCGCAAACGCACACGCACACACCTGATTGTGGTCCAGCTCTCCCTGAAGCTGCCCCGGCGACCAGGCCGAGTGCCCGTGCACGAATCGAACTCGGTCTTTAGACACCCTCCCCTGCTCAAGGGAGTCCCGTCGGGGGGGGGGGGGGGGGGGGGGGGG